AAAAAAAAAAAAAAAAAAAAAAAAAGAAGTCTGGCATTGCCTTTGGAGTCAGGTGCACTGCCATTAAAAGCTCTTGACTCCTAGCCTTATTTCATACAAAGCTGGTCATTAAGTCCTGAAGATCCTCCCTTTGTCACTTTTCTGGTTTCTCCGCCACAGTCAGATTTGGGCCCTTGTTCCTCTGTTGGGATTCACAGAATGGCCTCTCCACTCTGGTTACAAATCCATACCATCAGTGTCTAGCAGACGCCATCCTTAAACATGATCATGACCTCACAGGACCTCCAGACAGCAGAGCAGCCTTCTGTTGAGCAGTAAGTCCTTTTCCATGCTGGTCCTGCCTCCCTCTCTGGCCTCAGAAGTCACCAACCCTTTTCCTGTGCCTCTGCCTTTGTTTCACACTCATTTCTTCAAGTCTTGTTAAATCTAGCCATTGCTTAAGATCCATTTCAAGCACTGCCTTCTCTGTAGAGACTTATTTTACTCTTCTACAACTCCAAGTACTATCATCACAATTTTATTCACACTGAAGGCACAGCACATATGGTCATTATGCACAGCTGTGTGGATTGTTGGCTGAGCAAGGACACCCAGTCAAGAGGGCAAGAGTCTAAAATCAAGCCTATTATTCCTGTTCTCTTAATTTGCATAAAGGTGCAATGCAGATCAGTGGTGGCCTGTGTCAAAAGGGACTTCGGTTCTGTACTCCCTGAGGACATCTGCTCTTCTAGACAGCAAACTTTCGACCGCCACTAATCCCTTGTCTTTTTATCTTCAAGGCCCACTGCAATTTCTTACGTAGATTTGCAAAGGTTGTCAAATTTGAAAGGTTACAAATAGCAATAACAATAATAATGTCAATGCTTAAAATCCTTTATCTTGTAAGAAAAACGTCTGTGCTTCTGCCTAGAAAAATCTTAGGTTTTCATAGGAAGCCTATGAAAAGGTTATGTTAGGATTTCCATTTACAGATCATAAAAAATGAAACTGGAAGAAGCTCATTTATTTGCTAAAAAGTCACACAGTCAGGATTTGAATCCAGGCCTGTTTAATTCCAGAGCCTGTGCCTTTAAGTACTGTGGAAAATGGAGGGTGCTGCACACACGCCTCCCTGCACACACAGGAAACAAGCGCGGGTGATGGGGAAGCGGCAGCCTCAGTTGATCCTCACTTGAGAATCCAAGATGTCTTGGTGAAAAGCTGTCCCATGAAGAGCAAATGCAGAGCATCCTGAAGACCCCCTGGAAGAACACAGACATGCCTGGCATGGTGGCTTAGGCCTGCAATCCCAGCATTCTGGGAGGCCGAGGCAGGAGGAATGAAAATCCAAGCTCACCCTGGGCCGTTTAGTGGACTTAGCATGATCCTGTCTCAAAAGGAAGAAGGAGCTGGGAATGTAGAAGGACAAGCCCTCTTCCCAAAGCTCTTCTTGCTGCATGTGTTAAAAAGGCAGTGAGTTCTGGAAGGCTGCTGGGAGGAGCCCCTAGAAATGCAGGGTAGTCCTGCTCCACCCCACTACCTAGGAAGGAAACAGCAAGGGCTTGAAATTAACCCCTAGTATTCCAGACAGCCCGAGAACTTGGGGTGGGGCAAGACTCATCTTTGGTTTTACTCCAACATCCTGTTTCCAGCTTGCCCCTTTCCCTCCACGCCTGCTCCAGCCCAAAAGACCATTTCCTCTCTGAGCTCTGGAGCATTTGCTCTACACCCCTAGTTTGAAAAGTAGCAATTTTGTCCATGCATTCATTCATCTGCTCCTTCACTCACGTAGTGAACCTGAAGTTGTCCTATGCTCAGGGAGCTATGCTAGGAGCTGGGATAAATGACAAATGAAAGCTCTGCCCGTGTCCTAAAGGGTAGTGGGCAGAGTGGGTAGGCAGGAGGACAGCTTCCACAGAGGGCAGTGGGTTCTATAGCAAAGACAGGCAATGGTGCTTGGACAGGGCCGAGCTGGTATGTTAAACCTTCAGAAAGAAAGGCGTGATATACAGAAGTTGTGGAGGAGAAGGGGGAGAAGTCAGGGGATTTCAGACAAAATCTCCTGAAATCATAATGTCTGGATGTTCTAGAGACAAAGTAATGCTGTGCTATGAAGGCCTCCAAGTGGTTCCACCTTGCAGAAAGTTTGAGAAGTGCTACCCTAAGCCAAGCAGAGCTGCTCCATCCTGCAGTTATGTTCCATCCTTTTCCCTCCCTGCAGACCCCTCTCCTGTCCACCTGCTTCCTCCTGAGAGGTCTCCTAGGAAGTCACAGGTGCCTTACCCCTCTCAGGGCTCTCCTTTGCGGCTCCTGACTCCGACACCCCAGTCATTCAAACTACTCATTATAGAGACTTGGTGGATGTATTGGGTAGTGAGGCCAATAAAATTTCCCAGACACAGGAAGTGTGGACTCTAAAATCATATCCTCACTTGACTCATTGGCCCTTTACTGGGAAGGGTTTGAAGGCCAGCGTGGCTCTGAGACAAAACAGACAAACTTGAAGAACAAATGATTCACTGACCCGCAATCGCATGCATGAGTAGCCGCCAGTCTCACTTCTTCTGGGGACCACTCATCCACAGTCAAAGGCTGCTGCTTCTTTCTGTACAGTCTTGGCTCAGAAACATCCAAGTTCCCCAAGTGATATTCGTGAGTCACTGTCTAGCCGATCAGCCGCTCCAGAGACTGCTCCTTCATCCCAGGTTGTCAGAAACTATCATTTTCATTGTCTGTAAATGCCTTTGTACCACTTCTTGATTGAATAATCATTGTCTTGCGATGCTGATGCCAAAGACAGTGTCTCTGGCATCACCAACGTGGTTACTGCCTCCTCTTAGTTTTGTCTGCATCCTTAAGTAAAATATTTCATCCTCAAAATACTGCAAAGAAAAGAACTCTGAACCTGCTGAGCTGGTGTGCATTGTG